GGCCTTAGAACAGGGGATGTCAGAGCTGGGAGGGGCCTTAGAACAGGCAAGGTCAGGGCTGGGAGGGCCTTAGAACAGGGAATGTCAGGACGCAGCATGTTAGAACCCAGAATGGGAGGAACTCTTAAAGAGCATCTAGTCCACACAACCACACTGAGGCCCAAGGCTTTTGTCAGAGCCAGGACTAGAACCAGGGCTCTGGACTCTTACACCAGAACTCTTGCCCCTGCATCCTGCTGCACTGTGCTGGAGAGATCACAGGTTCTGGTCCAGGGGAGGGCAAGGGGGAGGCCAGAGTGGACTTGAATAGTTGGAAGTCTTGGAGGACCAGGGTCTTGGGTGATGCCAAGGCCAAGGCCAAGGGTCAGGGTAGGACTATCTGGCATTCCTGATCTAACTTTTTTCACCCTCTGACTTTCTCTGTAGCCAAACGCCCAGCCCCCGCCCGGCCCATGGTGCCTCCACCCCAGGTCCTGAATCCCCGATCTTCACCCCCAACCATTCCCACTGTGGTTCCAACCCCAGCGCAGCCGCAGCCCCAGCCGCAGCCGCAGCCGCAGCCCCAGTCCCAGCCTCAGCCCCAGCCCTCTACCCCAGGGAGTCCCGCTGCTCCCAGGGCCCTCCCCCGACGTCAGGCGGGCGGCAACATTAAGGCCCCCTCTGTCCCACCTCCATTGCCTCCTCAACCTCCCCAGCCTGTGCGCCGACTGAGCCGACCCTCCCCTGCTTCCCCCAACCCCAGCGCTGAGACTGAGGTCTCTGGGGAGCCCAGAGGCCCTGAGGGGGACAGCTGTGCAGCTGGGGTCACCATTCCTCCCCAACCCCGGCCTAGGACTCTTGCCTCAGAGACCGACTGAGCCAGGGTGGCCTGGCTGCCTCCTCCCACCACAATGCACTGCCCCTCCCCCTCTCCCCCCTTGCCTCTTCTATTCTCTGGGGCCCCCTTTCCCTCTGGCTCACCCTGGCCTCATCCCATCTGGAAGCTCCAGTGACTCAGCCCTCAACTGCCTGTGAGACAAGATGGAAATGTCCCAGGCACAAGTGCCTCAGACCCCCAGCCCCAGCTGGACGGGTCCCTTGCCTTGGGAGCTGAGGAGGAGCCCCGGCCTTCTCTCTCTCTTCTTCTGGCGCCCCTGGTTCTGGGCGTCCAGAGCCTCTCTCTCCATTGCCTGGCGGGGTCCAGTCAGAGAGGGAAAGAGAAGAGGAACGGGGAGGGCCCTTACTTTCACTTCCCTAGGAGAGCATCTATTTTCCTTTACCAGAAATGTTTTTGTTTTTGTCCTGGTATGGCTTGTAAATTATTTTGGATTAAATTGGATTGCATTCTGTGTGCGGCCTGGCTTCCTCCTTTGTCGTCCGAATAAAGGTGATTATTGAGAAAGGAAGAGAGCTCCCTTTGTGACTGAAGGTCAAGTTTACTCTGGAACAAACAGCAGTGAGCCTTGTCCCTTCCACCCTCCGAGGATCACAGGGCATCTGCTCACTACAGCATCGCTGGCCAACAGTTACGTAGCCTGTTTGAACACTTCTAGTGATGGAGTGCTCACTGTCTCATGACAATAATAGGGCTGGCAACAGGCCCTATGCTCAGCACTTTACAAATATGATCACATTTGATCGGCACAACAATCCTGGGAGATAAGTGCTGTTTTTACAACTGAGGAAACTGAGGCTGGCAGCAAGTTAAGTGGTTTGCTAAAGATCACACAGCTAGTATCTGAGACCATATTTGAACTCAGGTCTTCTGATACCAGGCCTGGCACAGGTATGTACTGCCACATTGCCACCTAGCTACTTCTATCATATGGCATATATATATATATATATATATATGTGTGTGTGTGTATGTGTATATACACATGTGTATAAGCTGCATATTACATAACTTCTACATAGACACATAACTTACCTTTCTCTGTATGTGTATATACGTATATATACACAAAATATGTGTGTGTATATATATACATATGTGTATATATACACATACAAGTGTATCACACACAAATACAATATATAGATACACAAATATATGTATAGATACAATGTGTGCAAACACAAATATATATATATACAATGTATATATGTATAAATATATGTATAAATACAATGTATATACACCCACAATTATATATATACAGAGATACAATGTATATATAGAATGTGCATATAAATGTAAATATATATACAATGTTTGTGTTGTATGTGCATATTTAGACACGTATGACTTACTACCTTTCTCATCGCCCACCACACAGTAGCCCCATATAAATGCTCATTCCCTTCCCCTCGCTCCGCCTTGGGGAGGGTCCGAATTCCTTTAAATCCAACCAACCAGTTTCTAGGGGCCCCTCCTCAAGCAAAGGCCCCTCTCGTTCTGGCCTGGACTCCCACTCCCACAGTCCCAGGAGCCACGTGGGCAGAAAGGAACGAGCCACCTCCTCTCCCCTCCCCTCCCTTTCCCGCTGCGGCCACGTGGCCCTGCCCACCCAAAGGCATTTTCCCGGGAAAAATCTGACCCTAGCCTAGCAACTACCTCTCCTTCGCTCCTGATTGGCCGCGGCATCCGGCAGCCCCATCTCTTCCATCAGGCTGTCGCTCATTATCGCCTCCTGGTGCTTATTGGACAGTTCCTCCCTCCAACCCGAGCTTTAATAGGTGAGGTTGGACGTCAATCCCAGCTCAGGCCCGCCCACCAGGAGCTGAAAACTCTAAGTGCCGATTGGTCAGCTCTGCCGTTCGCCCACCTCCTCACCTCTTCAAGTTTCCCCGGTCTGTCTTCGGGCTCGCGGCAATCATCCCAATCTCCCCTTCCTTAGTTCTGATTGGTCCTTCTCCCGGAGAAGGAAAACTAGTCAAGGATTGGCCGGATTTTTTTTTTTTGAAATATCCAAACTAGCTCGCCCCCATGTTACCCTTTTCCCTGCTGTCGCCGTCATCTCCAGTCCGTTGGACGTGGCCTCACGCTGTGGCCCTCAGCCGCTTCCAGAGGGAGGGCCCAGGGCTGCCACAACGAAGCTAAGAACGCTGCCCCTCCCTAAGAGGGGGGGACCTGTACCCTTCCATTGGTCAATTCTACCATCAGTTTTGGCTTTGGTCCCGCCTCCCCGAAGGATGTAGGCTTCGGCGGAGTGCATCTTTCAGCCCGTTGGCCCGTTTTGCCATTGTACGGGCGATGGCTCCACACAATCGCTCTCTTTCCTCTCCTAGCTCGCATCTTTGTTCGCTCTTTGGCTGTCACTTCGAGCCGTGTCCCCACCCCCTTCTGACGCTCAGCGCCCATTGGTCTCTCTCTGCATCGAGGCCAGAATGCATCCTTTCTGGAGGGCCAGGGGGATACTATTTGCCCATTGGCTGATTCTTTCAGCCCCCTGCGAGGATTGGTTCCTCTCTCTCTCTTTCCACGCCCCTAGGCCGCCCCAGGGACGCTGAGGCTACTCGAGTGGAGGCTAGGACTTCGGGGAGAAGGCGATGGAGTCGAAGCTCTTCACCCATTGGCCCACTGTTTGGAGCTCGTTGTAAATTTCCTGGCCGTCCCTCCTATTGGCGACCGTGCCTCGCTCCGGGCCCCGCCCCCGGCGATACTTTGCGCCCATTGGCTCCAGGGCGTCGGGCGGGACGTTGGGCGGCAGCGGCTACGTCATTCCCGCGGGAGAAAGCCCGGTGGCTGCCCTAGGCTTGGCTGGGCTGGGCCGGGCCAAGCCGGGCGGCTGTATGGCGGCCTGCGAGCGCCTGGGCGGTGGCGCCCTGCGGGAGCTGCTGGCCCGCACCCAGAGCGTGCTGTTCGACTGCGACGGGGTGCTGTGGAGCGGGGAGCGCGCCGTGCCGGGCGCGCCTGAGCTGCTGGAGCGGCTGGGCCGCAGCGGCAAGGCGGCGCTCTTCGTGAGCAACAACAGCAGGCGCTCGGTGGCCGAGCTGGCGGGCCGCTTCGCGCGCCTCGGCTTCCGCGGCGTGGCGGCCGAGCAGCTGTTCAGCTCGGCGCTGTGCGCGGCCCGCCTGCTGCGCCAGCGCCTGCCGCGGCCCTGCCCGCCGGGCGCCGTCTTCGTGCTGGGCGGCGACGGGCTGCGCGGAGAGCTGCGGGCCGCGGGGCTGCGCCTGGCCGGCGACGAACCGGGGCCCGTGCGCGCCGTGCTCGTGGGCTACGACGAGCACTTCACCTTCGCCAAGCTGAGCGAGGCCTGCGCCCACCTGCGCGACCCCGACTGCCTCCTGGTGGCCACCGACGTGGACCCGTGGCACCCGCTCAGCGACGGCCGCACCACCCCGGGTGAGGGCCGGGGGGCGTGAGGGGGCGGGGTGCAGCCTGGGAGGGATGGACTGAGCTCGGGATCCGTGGGACCAGCCGCAGCTGCGGGAACACTGGGAGCGACAAGGGAGGGGAAGACGGACCTGAGAGGAGAGAGTCAGGGGCCGGGGGCGGTGCCAGGTTATGTTCAGGGCTCAGCTTGGGGGAGGATTCTGTAGGATTCTACAGGATTCTGTAGAGTCATGGGGGGCTGGTACCTCCCCAGCGGCAAGATTCCTGGGGAAGGGGAGAGGAAAGGGTGGACCTGGAGGACTGGAGGGGAAGCAAGGGGCAGGGGGTGGTGCCAGGCCAAGGTCAGGGCTCTCAGCTTACGAGGGGAAGGGGCAGGAGGGACCCTGGTATCCTTGGAGCAGGAACTAGGGAGGTGGAACCTCTCCTGGGGGGAATACCCTCTGGGGGAAGGGAGGATTGCTCTACGGTAGGAAGAAATCAAAGGCCCCTGGAGGGCAGTACCAGCCTAAAATCTGCGTTCAGCCTGGTCAGGGAGGGGCCCCAGGATTGGCCGTCAGCTCTGCTGGGATAGTACCTTTCCAGCTCTCCAGGGGGAGGGGAAAGTGGACTTCAGATAAGGAGAAACCCAGAGCCCTGGAGGGGGGCGGGCCGGCCGCAGAGTTACAGGCCCAGCAGGAGAAGGTGGAGCCCCAGAATCTGCTGAGTTAGCCCCCGGGTATGGTACATCTTCCTGTTGCAAGCTCTCTGGAAGAGGGAAGGAGAGGCAGAAAACCTAGCCCAGTATCTTTGGGGAGGAGAAGGGGATAGAGAACAGATGCTGGGGATGGAGAGACTCTTGGCTGAGACACTGCACATTCCAGGGTGAGGGGAACCTAGGATGGGATCTGGGACCTGGGAGGAGGGAGAGGGCAATTGCACTTGCTTGTGGCTGCAGGGCCCCTGGGGCTGTTTTGATGCCTCTTCTAGATCTGGGGGTGAGAAACTTGTAGGGAGGCTGCCTTGGAGGGTGTGGGTGGCACCTGATCATGGGGCCAAGGTTCCATTTGTTTCAGGACCTCATGGGATAGAGGCCAAGCTGGGTCAGGGAGGACTAGGGCAAGAGCGGCACCTCTTCAATGATGAGGGCCATGCGGAAGCCTTGCCTCAGGTCCTAATCTTATCAACTCAGACAGGTTTCTGGTGAGATGGAACAGAGCTGGGCCCACGGCAGGCACCTGTGGCCAAAGGCTGGCGAAGCTTTGCATGAAGTCATGCGTGTGGAGTGAAGTAGGAAAGCCCTGCCTTCTCAGTGATGAGTAGGTGCCTAGGTTCCATGGGGCCTGGATAGTGTCTGGGGCAGCATCCCCAGACACTGGACAAGATTGCAAGACCCACCATCCGACCCAGTGGGGAAGCTAAGATGACCTGGGACAGGTAGAAGTGAAGCTGGCCTCAAGCTGGGGAGGTAGGAATGACTATCAGCTCCTGGGAAACGACAAGGGGAAGGCTTGGACCTTTATAGAAAGTTTTCATTTCTATGCCACCTTAAGGTTTTACAAAACACTTCCCCTGAACAGCCCTGTCTGGAAATTCTGGAAATTCCCTGTGATTCAAGAGGATTACAATTATCAGTCCCATTTTTGCAGATGACATGTTGGGCACAGAGGGAGTAATCCACTTGCCCCAGGGTCACAGTGTCAGAGCTGCTGACTCTAATACCAGGGCACTGCCCCACACTTTCTGCTCTGGCAGGATCGATTTAGGCCAGACGCCCATAATCGATTTGGTTTGTATCCATTTAGAGTTACTAAGTTACCATCACAGGGCCTGGCACAGGACAGTGCCCATCACAGGCACTGATGTTTTTTGCATGAACACATAGCTTTGCAAATTGATCTGGAATGATTTGTTGCCTTTTTTTTTTTTTAACAGTTGGGGAAACTGAGGCTGAGAGGTCACATGGTTAGTGGCAGAACAGAGGTAGAGTGCAGATGCAGATTTCCCAGGGCTTTCACTAGCATCTTCTCTGATCCTAGCTTAGGAGAAAGAATTAGCTTCTAAGGAATCTATTGGATTATAGAATAATCTTGGCTAGGATTTGTTGACTAGTATTCAGAGAGAATATTGAGTGGGAGTAGGGCTCTGGTGGGTTCCAGAATGAAGAGTTTCCATTTTAATGGATCCCCAAGATGTCCTCAAGACAGGAACAATTAATATTAGTCATAGGAGGGAATGAGGAAAGAGGCAAATCTCTGTCAGAGAGGATATGTTTTGGAGATCAGAGCTCAGAATTTGGAAGGGACCTCTAATCCAACCCCTACCAGAAGAGGAATCCCTACAACCTAACAGACATGTGGTTGCCTAGTCCCTGCTTGGAGACTTCCAAAAACCATGGTGCCTTATCTCTCCTCCCCAGCTCTCCTCATTGCATGGAAAGGGTCCCACCCTCTGTCCAACTCTGGGGTGGATCAGGTAACTTCTGAGCTGTTCAGTTCAGTTCTTGGAAGGAGAGTCAGGCTGGAGAGGCAGGATGACGAAAGGCCTGGATATCATGGGTTGGGGGAGGAAAGGACGCTTAGCCTGGAGAAGAGGCTCAGGGTGAAGGGCACATGATGTCTGTCTTCAAGAATTTGAAACACTTGTGGTCCTGCCCTCTGGGGCCAAGCAGAACCATGGATATCAGTGTAAACAGGCAGATTTGGGCACAAAGAAAAGAAAAAATTCATAACAACTCAAGCCATCCCAGAGTGGGCTGGCCTGCCTCTGGAGGGGTTGCCATTCCTGGAAGTCTTCAGCCAGGGCCTGGATGACTCCTTGTTAGATGTATGCCAGGGGTCGCTAGTTGGGCTGGGTTCCCTCTATAACCCTATCAGTGGGATAGTAGTCCTGTATATCTGGTTGGGGGAGGGCAGGGGAGACCCAGCAGGGAACAAGTTGGATAGCATTCAGTTTCAGAGATCCCCACAAAGGAAAGCCCACACAAATTCAATTCACCCAGGCCATTCAGATGGTTGTCCTTGAATGAAGGAAAGCTCCAGGTCTCCCCTGCCCCCACCCGTATCTCCAGAGCAGGGTATGTGTGCTTGCAGCTAAGTGGGACAGAGTTCTGGAATGAGAGGAAGGGTGTCCTGGAGGTAGGAAGTCTTGAGGGAAGGGAAAACAGCAGGTCTGACACCCAGCAACAGGAATTGCTAAGGGTCAGTAGCTGGGTGGGAAGAAATAATCAAATTTGGGCTTCTGGAGCAGTGTGGCGGACTGATAAATCATTGAATAAACACTTAGAAAGTGATCTGGATCCTGTGCCAGGCCCAAGATAGGGAACAAAGTTGTCCCTGCCCTTAGGAAGTTTACATTTTGCCAGATGGGAAACGGCCTCAACCTCAGTGTGTAGTAATTTCTGATGCAGCTAGGGACTCTGGAAGGCCCTCATGTAGGAGCTGAGCTTTGAAAGAACCTGGGGATTTGAAGAGATAGAAGGGGAGGGACCCTGAATGGGATGGGCTGGATAAAGAAGAAGTGGGACCCGCCTTCAGAGTCTGAAGCTCCTGAAAAAGAATTTTAATTTCTATGTGTATCTTTTGTTATAGCACCTTCATTTCGGGATTATATTCTTCACCCTACACCCAGTAAGATGACCCTTATAACAAAGAACAACACATGAATCAAGTCTGACAGGGTATGCGGTGCTCAATTCCCATAGCCCCCCCCCCCCCCCCCTGCAAAGAAAGACCAGAAGGAAATGTTTTCCCATCTCTTTTCCTGGGCTAATTCTTGATCATTATTGTATCACTTCCTTTCGATAAAGACTTATTTTTTTTTTCCCGGTGAGGCAGTCGGGTTAAGTGACTTGCCCAAGGTCACACAGCTAGTACGTGTCAAGTGTTTGGTCTGAGGCCAGATTTGAACTCAGGCCCTCCTGACTTCAGGGCCGGTTCTCTATCCACTGTGCCAGCTGCCCTGATAAAGACTTCTAAATTCAATGTTTGATTAGAAACAACTTTACATATTGATACATAATACAAAATTTGAAAATTTTGAGGAGAGGATTACTTCCCATTTAGGGCATCCAGGAAGGCTTCATGGGAGAATTCTAAAGGAAGGGAATAGACTGATGTGGAGGGATTGGGTGGGGGTGGGAGGAGTCTTTCTGGAAATAAGTCCAGAAAGGGGCTTGAGGGCACCATTATCTCAAAGCCAAAGCCTCTCAAATTGATCTGACCTCATCACTCCCTTGTTGAATTTACTCCATTATCTCCCTATTGCTTCTAGGAGCAAATTCAAACTCCTCTACCAGCTCCCTAAAGAAAGCCGTTCATCCTTGGGCTCCAGCCTTATCTTACATTACTCTCCTTCATACACTTTGCTTTCTGGCCAAACCAACCAGCTTACCAAAAATAATTATAATAGATTTTGATATGTTATGTTTTTTACAAAATGTCTTCCAGTGTTCCTCCCCCTTCCATGGAACCTTTCTGTAGAGCAAATGATATTTTTTCAAAGAAAAAGAAGAGGGGAAAAAATAGAAGAAAAAAAAAGAAGAAGAAAAGGTCAATACATTGAAGAGGTCTGAAAATAGAGGCAATGTTTCACAACCATGGACCTCCCACTTCTGTAAAGAAGTTGAGGGAAGTGTTGTCCACTGTGGAGTCATGCCTGTTATTTGTAATTTTGAAACATTCACTTGGGATTGTTTCGTGTTCGTGGTTGTTTCCGTTTATATTGTTGAATTTATTTAGTATTGATTTAGTTTTCTTGGTTGTGCTGACTTCACTCTGCAATCAGGTCATGTAAATCTAAGCTTCTCTGTGATCATTCCATTCACTGTGTTTTACAGCACAGTAATATTCCATTGCATTCATTTACACAATTTGTTTATCATTTCCCAGTAAATGGCCATCTATTTTGTTTCCAGTTCTTTGCTACCACGAAAAGTACTACTATAAATATTTTGGTGCACATGGAAATTTTCTTACCAATGAAATCCATGGGTATAAATCTAGTAGTTGAATCTCTGGGTTAAAGGGTATAGTTGCCTTATTTGCTTAATTCGAAATTGTTTTCCAAAGTGGTTGAACAACTCCACCAACTACATACTAACATGCCTGTCTTCCCATGACCCCTCCAACATTAATTTATCTTTCGTCATCTTTGCCAATTTGTTGGATGAGGGGAAGAAGCCCTAGGGCTGTTTTGATTTGCATTTTTCTCATTAGTGATTTGACACATTCTTTGTGGTTATTAATAGCTTTCAATTCTTTTGAAAGTTGTTTCTTCATTCCTCTGAGAACTTAACTATTGGGGAATACCTTTTGGTTTTATAATATGTTACTTGTGTATCTTGGATATGAAGCTGTTATCTAGAAAATTTAACACAAAGATCTTTTCCTATTCACTACTTCCCTTCTTATCCTAGGTGCATTAATTTTGTCTGTGCCGTGGCTTTTCAGTTGCATGTAATCAAAGTTATCTCTTGATCTCATTCAGTTATGAATATATCTTCTACCTATAGCCATGAAAGGTATATAATGTTTCTCTTCTTATTTTTTATATTTTAATTTTTAATGTTAGTTTCCTGGAAGTTTCCTTTTTTCTTCAGTTTCCTCATATGTAAAACAAAGATGTTGGACTCAATATCCAGCATTTACTGGACAACTCTTACTGTTGTATGTGGTCATATATCCATTTAAAACACATTGTGGGGAATGGTAGGTGTTGGTCCAAGCCGAATTTCTGCCAGACTTCTTCTTTTTTTGGGGGGGTGGGGCAAGGCAATCGGGGTTAAGTGACTTACCCAGAGTGACACAGCTAGTGTTACATGCCTGAGGCCGGATTTGAACTCAGATCCTCCTGACTCCAAGGCTGGTGCTCTCTCCTCTGTGCTACCTAGCTGCCCTTCTGCCACACTTCTTTTCAGCAATTTTTATCCATTAGGGCATTCTTTCCTAAGTAATTTCTGTTTTCTGCTTTAGCAAACCCTGAATTATTGAGTTCCATTGTTCTAAGTCTTCCTCATCTAGTTGTTCCCATTCATCTATTTTTTCCGTCCATCTTTCTATTTACCGACACCAGTGGGTTTGGGCGGCTGCTGCCTCATAATATAGCTTGAGGTCCAGAAGTGTTAGTCCTGTTCATTCTTCCCTAATTGCTGTTTCTAATTCATCACATTTCATTTTCCATCTCCATACCTTTGTATAACTTGTCCCTTGTGTTTGGAATGCTCTGCCTTCTCACCTTGGCCTCTTAGAATCCCTGGCCTTCTGCAGAGCTCAGCTCAAACACCACCTCCAGGAGGCCTTTCCTGATCCCCCCAGATTCACTTTGTGTCCCTATTGTGCATACATGTTGTTTTTCCTCCAGTGGAATATCAGTTTCTTGAGGTCAACAACGGTACTTTTTGTCTCCATCCTGCGTTCCCCACCCCCCCCCACCCCCCCGTGCCTAGCACAGTGCGTGGCCCATCTTTGTTATTGTTTAGTCATTTCAGTTATGTCTGACTCTGCGTGACCCTATTTAGGGTTTTCTTGGCAGAGATACTGGAGTGGTTTGCCATTTCCTTCTCCAACTCATTTTGCAGATGAGGAAACTGAGGCAAACGGAATTAAGTGATTTGCCCAGGGTCACACAGAAAGTAAATAACAGAAACTAGATTTGAACTCAGGACTTCCTGACTCCAGACCTGGCGCCCTATCCACTTCATCACCTATCTTCTACCTGGCCCATCCACTAGGACAAATAAGTGCTTTATGAATGATTGACCAAGATAGGCAGGAATGGCCCGCCTTATCATCCCTCCTCTGCCTTGGGCCCCGAGGCCTTTGAAGGGCCTGGGGTTACCTGGAAGTGAAGGCTATGGCTGACTTAGACTGTGATGGCATTGTACTCCTTGACTGACAGAGGAGGCAACCAGGTGTTAATAAAGACATAAGACAAAACAGGCCTTGGCTCTCATAGGAAAGATTTGAGGTTGGCTATCAGGCAGAATTTCATGTGACCTCACTGCTTTAGGCTTCTGGAGCCTCTTTTCCTCATCCAAGCTCCCTTTTTGTTTCCTGGGCCTAAGGCTCCTTCCCATCTCTGGGCCTCAGGTCCTTCAGATCTCTCATATGCAGAGTGAGGGGGTTGGGTGCAACCTAAGGTACCTTCTAGTTCTGATGTGCCATCGTTCTGTGAGTCTCGAGAAGCTGCAGACTTTTAAAAATATGATCCACATTAAAGAGTAAATGAAGCAAGAGGGAGAGAATTTGGAACTCAGGATTAAAAAATAATAATAAATGTAAAATATTTTTACATGTAATTGGGAAATAGATATAGATATATATTTTAACAATGAATGAATGAGGCTCTTCTGAGCCCTGGACCTTATGCTGGCCTCTGGGTCTTTATGATATCCCGCTGAGTCAGCTAGATGGTGGAATGGAGATGTCAGACAGACAGGAGCGAGTATTTACGGAATAGGGTTTGCCCCTGCAGCTTGAGGAAAGCAACTTGTGCATTACTCATTGTGGCAATCTCAGCTTCAGGCATCAATTCAAACATACTCTCTGTGGGGCAGGTGGTTCCCTTACGGCATCCACTGTGTGCTGAGCTCCCCTTTCAGTATCTAAGTCCTAAGTTTCTTTTTCTTTTCTTTTTTGTTGGGCAATGGGGATTAAGTGACTTGCCCAGGGTCACCCAGCTAGTAAGTGTCAAGTGTTTGGTCTGAGACCGGATTTGAGCTCAGGTCCTCCTGACTTCAGGGCCGGGGCTCTACCCACTGCGCCACCCAGCTGCTCCTTCCCCTTTCAGAGCTTCTCAGTCTCCCCAAGAAGGAGACGGGACCGGTGTTATTCTTTTCCATTTGTCAACTGAGGAGACTGGAACTCAGACTGAAATAAGCCCTAATTGTTTGCTTTTGGCCCTGGTCTCCTGGTAACAGAAATGCCTCAGACTCTAGTTGAGGAAGTTGTTAGCATTCTTCCTTCTAACGGACCCAAGGGTTAAGGCAGGGACGCCAAGCCTTGTGGGGAGACCATGGAGTCAGGCAGGCTGGCCAGAGAGGGGTGAGGAGAGTCAAGCACCCTACGTCTGGAGCTGGAAGGGACCTCAGGGCCCATTGAGTCCAACCCCCTCATTTTACAGAGGGGGAAACTGAGGCCCGGGGAGAGTGTAACAAGCCAGGGCCTCACAGGTAAGTGGCACAGCTTTCCGGAACCTTTCTTAATACTCCAAGCCCTTTCTCCACGCCCCTGCTTCCCATGCACCTTTTAGCTGAAATTGGTCTGTCCATCTCGGGTGCTGAAAGGGTTGTTCCTATCTGCAGAGTTGAAGTTTCCCCTCTCTTAATAAAGCTTTTGCCGTTTTTGCATAGCAGTTTCCAGGTCTAAACCTCCCACCTCCCAAAGCCATCCTTTATAACAGAGGAGAGGAAAGAAAAGTGGCAGCAGCTGAGCCTCACCTGACTGTATATGCAATTTTCCACACCCATAGCCTCCCTTCCATTTGTCAACTGAGGAGACTGGAAGGGAGGAACGCTTTCTCATCTCTTTGCTGGGAAAATCCTCAAAGGGATTCTCCTCTAAACCCTGAAAGAACCTCTTTCTCACCCCCTGAGGCCACTCCCTGGAAACTGGGCAGTGCAAAGGGAGTAGATCTAGAGTTGGTCCTAGGGGTGATCGGCTCCAGTCCTGTCAGCAGCTGGGGTCCCACTCCCCACAATGGAAGGGGGGTGAGCAGTCTACAAACATTTGGGGATCACTCACTCTAGGCCATGCCCAGTGTCAGAGAGAGGAAGGAGATGCAGCCCCCAGCCCTGGGTGGAAAGAGCCTCTGGGTGCCTGGAGATGCAAAGATGAAAGCCAGGTTCCAGTGCAGCCTGTGCTGGGAATTGGCTGTGTGGCTGAGCGCAGGCCTTAGTACCTCTTTGAGCCTGTTTTGTTGGGTCAGATGGTGGCCTTAGGTCATGCGATTGACTCAGTGCACATTGACTTACTCTCCCTGGGCAGAGCCCAGCACTGGGAGCAAGACAGAGGGGGACTGGAGGTGTGATTTTGATTTGGGCAATTCCAGAATGAGAAAAGCCCTCCCTCTACCAATGTAGGTCAGCAACTTCCCTGCCAGGAGGACAGGAGCTTCAGTAACTTGCTCAGGGGTCATTTGGCCCGTCAGTGTGGCTTGTGAGATTTGAACCCACATCCCACTGGCTCTTGACACTTCCTCTAGCTAGAGAGAAGCTTTGGGTAGCACTCCTGGAACTTGTGGTCTAGGGGGCAATAGAGCAGGCATATAACTAATATTTAATTTTGCAAAAAATGCACCTTTCCTCTTTTTACTAATAGAGTTTCCTGGGGACACTGAGAGGTTATTGAGTTACCCAGGGTCACAATGCCATGGTCAGAGGGAAGAAGCGAGCCCAGGCCTCTATCTATTGCACCACACTGCCTCTCAGGAGTGTACTGGGAGTGGGGACCAGACCTAGGAGTTGTCAAATGGAAGAGCCCAGTCTAGCAATACAGATTTACACCTCTGTGACCCATGAGTGGTGCCTAGAGCTCTGAGAGCTGTCCAAGGTGGCAGCTCTGGAGGCAGAAGATCATGATGAATTTCCATGATAAATCTAAGATGGTGGCTTTGACTTGATAAAGAATCAGAGCTATTGAGGGTGGGGGCGGGTTTCCAGGTTTCCATTTCTCCTTTCCCATCTCAGACTCAGCATCTCTCTTTTCCCTTCACTCCACAGGTACTGGGAGCCTGACAGCAGCAGTGGAGACAGCATCAGGGCGCCAGGCAGTAGTGGTGGGCAAACCCAGCACCTACATGTTTGAGTGTATCACAGAGCACTTTGGCGTGGACCCGGCTCGCACCCTGATGGTGGGTGACCGGCTGGAGACGGACATCCTCTTTGGTCACCGCTGCGGTCTGACCACCGTGCTCACCCTCACTGGAGTCTCCAGGCTGGATCAGGCCCAGGCCTACTTGGCTGCAGGCCAGGTTGACCTGGTGCCCCACTACTACGTGGACAGTATTGCAGACTTGATAGCAGGCCTGGAGGACTGAGGCCACCTGACCAGAGGCAGGGCAGCCAAGAGGACGGGCTGGCATCTCGCTCCCATTTCTTCTCCCCTGGTCTCTTTTTACTCTCTGCTTGTGAGAGGACCCCTTCCCCAATTCCCATATCCTGATCCAGTTTGGATGTTTTCCTCCCCCTAACCGTGTGTGCGCGACACACACACACACACACACACACACACACGTGCGCGTGCTCTCTCCCTCCACCTTCTGGGATCAGTAGGTCAGGACCTGCTCCCCAGCTCCCCAAGGGACCTACCTATCCCTCCTCCCTTTAGGTTGGGCTAGGTGTCCTCTCCCCACATTATCTCCTGCTTCCCTCTACTGGGTGCCATTTCCCTAATGGCAGCATCCCCTCCCCCTCACCCCTCAAATCAGCCCCCACTTCCCCCTTCTCTCAGCTCTGAAGGTCGATGCTGCCTTAACTTCTCTTTTTTCTCCCCACTTTCTCTCTTCTCGACCCAGGAACTATGACTCTGGGGGCACAGGGTGCCTCAGTTTCCTTCTCTGTCAAAATGAGGGTGTTAGACTAAATGACTTCTGAGCCCCCTGAGCCCCCTTGCAGCTCTGAATCTATGATCCTAAAGGGCCCTTTATTGCAACACTCTGTGCCATTGATTCCCAGCCCCCCTTGTTCTGCCTGGTTCAGGGGCTTCCCCTCTCCCATACACACACGCACACACACACACACATACACACTCTCTCTCTCTTCCCCTCTCCCGTACACACACACACACTCTCTCTTCCCCTGTCACACACACACACACACACACACACTCTCTCTCTTCCCCTGTCTCACACACACACACACACACACACACACACACCCCTTCCAGTGGGTTGAGCTTGGGGCCTGAATCCAACTGAGCCAGTCAGCCTGGGTTCAAAGTTCTGGGGCATCAAGTGGGGATCATTGAGTTATGTCTCCTAAGGGACCAATCAGAAGGCTGGAATCCATTCAAGTTCCAGGTGTTAGTGGACCAATGGGAGGGGTGCCCCGAGTGCCAGTTGCAGGGGCCATGTGGCTCCTGCCCAGCTTTTAAGTGGAAAGAGAACCCTGCTGCCCAAGGGCTGTGATGGACATGGTGGGTCCCTCGATCTCTTTCTCTGAGACTGTTGATGTGCTTTGTCCCCCTGCCCCAGTATTTATTTGCCAATTTATTTATTGAGGTGTTAGGATGCTTCAGGAGGGGTCACCATAACCCCTCTAGATGTACCCAAATCCCCTCTTCCCCTCCAGGAACTTGGAATTGAATAAATTAAGCCCTGGAATTCCTGTGTATGTGGCCATGAGGTACCATTGGGGGTTTAAGGCTTTCCTCAGAGCTGTCCAGCCCATACTCAGCTGGCCAATGTCTGGTCTGCTCCATTCCCCCAAATGCTGGGAAATCAATCTGTAACACAGATTGAGTAACACAGAGATGAGACCGGTAACACAGAGTCTCTCATATGGGCCCCTGAGTCCCCGTTGGGCACAAGGAAAGACAATTCCTGCACCTTTACCCAAGTCCTAGAGAAATTCTGGGTATGGATTCTTAGTTTGTTGTGTGCAGGGTCAGTGGGTGAGAAAAGTGCAGACTGTTAACTTTGCCTCTCTTTCCAATGCTCTGTATACAGTGGGCACTTAATAAATGTGGAAGTAGCTATGAAGCTTCCTGGAGGAAGGCGTTATGAGCAAAGATTGGAAGGGAGCTGGAGGGGTGGTATCCTGATGAAAGATGGCCAGAGAAATGGCCCATGGGAAGGGGTGCTCAGAGCACATGGCCATTGCTGCTAAGGACACCCTAGGAATTGGCCAAAAACATGGTCTCTGTAGCTACTACCACAGGGCAACTTGCAGTGGGAGGGATCCCAGTGGTCTGGGAAGGGTTTCCTGGAGGAGAAGGGATTTGACTTACAGCTAGAAGAAACCATGACAGGCACCTAGTCCAACCCCATCATTTTACAGAGGAAGAATGAGATCCAGAATTGAGTAGGGGCTTGTGGAAGGCTGAAGTGGCAAGAGCAGGATTTGACCTCATGGCCTCTTCTCCAAATCCAGCATTCAATCTGCTGTCAATACAAGGGAAGTAGGGTGGGAAACTGAAGGTGTTTGGACAAGTTCCCCCGAGGGGTGGAATGGAGGGAGCTGTTTATCTGGGACAAAAGAAGTAATAATAACCTCATGTTTCTGTAGCACCTGAAAGCTTGCTTTGTTCTTCTTGGCTCTAGAGATCAGAATGAAGAGCATTTGGGGCAGGGGGTGGGATTGGGACCATTGGATCAAATGTAGTCTTGGAGCTGGAAGGGACCATTTGACTCAATCATTTTACAATTGAGAAGTGGAGCAATTTGTCCAAGATAACAGAAGAGTTAAGTTGGGGATTATTTGTTATTTGATTTTGTTTAATCTATCTCCCCTAGGCTGGACGTGCAGATGTTAATTTGCTCCATTTCCTAGGCAGCCTGGTAGCTCACCATATTGGTGCTGAGCTCAGGCACCTGATTGGCTTAGCCCCCTGCTGCTCAAAACTCCTAAGGATGGCTCTAGAGATCTGCCAGTCTTAACCTCTCCAGGCCTGAGCCACCACACTTGGCCCAGAACCAGGGTCAGAACTGGGGTTCCCCCAACTTTTCTACTGTACAAAGAGGCATATTTCAGCTAGATGTGAGGAGGAGCTTCCTAGAAACCAGAGGTTTCCAAATGTGAAACAGGCTGCCTTGGGAAGCTTTGAGCTCTCTGTTATGGGATCGGTCCAGGTAGAGACTGATTGATTTTTCTACAGGGAGTGCTATAGAGGGGACTCACACACAAGTACAGGTTGAATGAGATGGTCTGAGTTCCCACCCTGGTGGGACAGCCTATAATACTAGGACCCGAAGATCCGGGCCTTTGGAGCCTCTTTTAGGTTTTTTGTCCTAAAAAGCTCACTGTGACTATCCTCTTCTGCCTCTCTGTCCCCAAGAGGGAAGGCCCAGTGGCAACTGAAGGCCCCCTGGGGAAGTAGGGAATGAGTGAATGGACCCGGATTGGTCCAAGTCTAGCCTGAGAAGGTCTTTGACCTTCCAACAGGGAGGAGTTGGTACTCAAGGATGGAGCTAGAACTGTAACATGTAAGGTGTGTGTTGGGGGGGAGAGGAGCAGGGAGGTCAGGGGTGGTGGAGGCTGGGAGAGACTGGAATTTCATTTGGAAGAATATGAGCTCAGCCCACGAGGAGTAGCGGCCAAAATCCAGCGTGTGTGGGGTGGAGGAATTCTGGAGTGCACATAACCTCAATCCTTTGCTGGCCCTAGAGAGATACAAAAGCTCAGCCTCTCAAAGGTCTTCAGGCACAACCACCCCCATCCTCCACCCCCACTCCTGAAGAAACCATCTTTATAGCAAGAGAAGAGAGTGGAAAGGATGAGAGAGGGAGAGGCAAAAGGAGAAGCAGGATGATGGAGAGAGCTCACAGGTTTATAGTTCTAAAACTCAAAGAACCAACCCTCTTGTTTTACAAATGTGGAAACTGAGGTCCAGAGAAATGGAATGAATTATCTAAGGTCATGTCAATATACCATCAGAGTCAAGATTTTCACCCAGGTCTCCTGACTCCAGAGAGAGCATTCTTTCCACTGTACCATATGGCCTTCTTGGGATAGGGAGAGAATGAGAAAAGAGAAGAGGAGTGAGAGGGATGACAAAATGGGTAGAAGAAATGAGCCAGACAGATGAGATAGGTAAGGAGATAGGAAACAGAGAGTGGGTGAGAGACATGAGAGGGAGAGGGAGAGATGAAAGATGAGAGAGATGAGAGGAAGTGAAAGTGATGAATAATGCAGAAGAAAAGATGAAAGGAGTGATGAGAGCATGGAGAGGTGAATAGTGGAGGACAGGGAAGAGGCAGGGAGAAGAAGAATCTCAGAATTTAAAATATCTGTGCAGCCTCCTCTACTTAATGAAGAAATGTCCTCCAGATGAGAAACAAGAATAGGGAAGGAGAAAGAGAAGGGATGAGAGATGTAATGGGAGACTGGCCAAAGGTAAGGTGAAGGAAAAAGAAGGGGGGGGGGCAGGAAGAGAGAGACAGAAACAAAGGGGGAAAGTGAAAGACAGAAATGAAAGAGAATGGAAGAGATGAATAATGGAGAAGGAAAGATGGAGAGATAAGAGGTTGGAAGAGATGAATAATAGAAGAGAGAGAAGAGGCAGAGAGAAAGAGAATCCCAGGATCTTCAATACCTAGTTTAAACTCTTCTACTGAATAGAAAAATGCCCTACGAGTGAGAAAGAGGACAAGAAAGAGGTGAAATATAAAAGCAAAGATGAAAAAAAGGAAAGGAGAGGAAGGAAATGGAGAGATGAGGAAGAGGGAAAGTGAACAATAAGAAAGGAGTTGTTTGAGCAACACATTCTAAAAGAGAGATGAGAGACAGGGACAGAGGGATTTGGGAAAAAACAGAGACCAAGAGGGAGAAATGAAAGATGGAAAGGTTGGAGTCAGAGAGAGGGAGAGATTTGAGAGAGCTAGCTAGAACCCCAAGGAAAAGTGGGACTGTGGGCAGGCACACCAGAGCTCAGGTCTGAATAAACTAAGTCCTGAAGAGAAATTGGGCCTTAGAGGGGCCCTAGAAGCCATCCTAGGTAGGCTAGGCAGACCCAGGGGACAGGTCACTTCCTTCAGAGAGCATTTGTTGGAGGGAAAGGATGACTAGGACCAGCCAGAGAGCCCCAAATGGAAAGGGGCATCAACCAGAAAAGGGTGGGTGACCTCCCAGACCCCTGTGGCTGCCCTGTCTCACCCTGTGAGGAACGAGAAGGTAGGAGAGACCTGAGTTAGAATCCTGGCGCTTCCTTGCTAACTGTGTGATCCAGGGCTGTCACATGCCCATACTGAACCTCAGTTTCCTCCTCTATAAAATGGGGATAGTAACCCAGGAACAGGGACAGAAGCCTCAGATTCAAGGCTCTGGACTCCCAAAGCCACCTCCTTCTCTAATTGAGGAAGGGCCTATCTGGAAGGGACTAAGGTCAAAGTTGAGGATCTACCTGGTCCAGAACTTAATCTATCAACAATCTCCTAAGCACCTACTTCCCTGGGCTAGGTGTGGGGGATACAAGCAAAAAGCAAACTCAGTCCCTGCCCTCCAGGATATTTTGTGTTCTTTTGTTGACGTTGTTGTTTTAAACCTAGATTGCGTTAAATGATTTGAATGAAATCCTTCCTGGGATCAAGAGAAGGAATGTTTTCCACCCCATTCATAAAGACCATTAGTAACTACCCTGGTTGAGCTCTAGGTAGGGCTTGAAGGTGATCCATGGGTCACACAGCTGGCAGTGCAGTACCAGGAGATAATGGAAGTGGGCCAACTTGGCCTGGAAGATCCTTTCCAATGCCAGTTTTATGATCCCAGCCACACCTAAATCCTATGATCCTATGTAAGGCAGAATTTCCTGGCCTCTTATGGCTGGTGAAACCAAAGGAGTTCAGGAGCAGACAGTTACTGGCCAGTATAGACTGCCTCAATTGGATTCCTGCTTGGAGAGTGAGAAGCCTCCCTAGGTCTTAGTCGCCCATTATGTAAAATATAGGTGGTTAGCACATGATGTTAGAGTGGAAAGTTGGCTCTTGAAAAGGGTGTGTGTGTGTGTGTGTGTGTGTGTGTGTGTGTGTGTGTGTGTTCAAAGCAGCCAATTCATCCCTAGTCCCTCTAGCTTGAAAGTGACATCTATGAGGCTGGGCTAGGCCCCAGCTGCACCACATCTGGCCTCACCATCTCTT